CCATTTTTGATAACAATTAAAAGGAAAAAAAATAAAAACCTAGCAAGCTAACCGGTTCGAACCTCGCTCAACAGAACTAAATCTAGATTAATAAAGGTATAATTCTGAAATTTATTTAAGAAAAGGTGAAATAGTGAAAAAGCCTGGGCGTAGATTAATATTTGGATAATATTCTATGGCGGCACTCTCTAGAATTTTCCTTCTGAGTGAGTTATTTTCTTTCTTTTTTTTTTTCTTAACAAAATTACTGCTGTCCCAAACAAACGTACAATCAAAAGAAAATGGTTGAATCTTTCAACACAGTTATAATGACAATATTCTCCACATGTGACAATAACTGACGTTATTTTCAGTTAACGATATGAAAATAGCGTTGTCTGCATTCCTCCAGTTGCTAAGAACATTCTATTTTTTTTTTGTTTTTTTGTTTTTTTTTTGTTTTTTTTATTATTAGTTACTTTCTTTTTAAATTCATTTCGTTTTTTGCTTTGAGAAAGTCCACATTGGACGAAACGCGTCAGCAATAATTACAGTTTTTCTATTGTCATTTATATTTATAAATATTGTCTTTTCTACAGGTTAACTCTGAGAAATTTATATATATATATATATATATGAGGTGGAACAACTACATTGAATCAATAACTGCATCTACCGCTAGGAAATTCGGTTCTCTGTGTCGTGCAATTCGTCCATGCATATAATACTGTTGCAATATATGGTCTGGTGTCCCCGCTGTTCATCTCGATGTTCTCGTCAAAGACGGATATACAATGTAATCGCTCCTGACTTGTGGTCTCGACTCCAGTCACTTTCCACGGACGTAATGTGGCTTCTCTCTTTTCTATAAATATTTTCATCGATTCTGTTCTGTCGAGCTATTTTCACTGGTGCCCCGACTGCTTGAATTTAAGCGTGCTACTAGGTTGGCATCTCGGTCCCACTGTCAAAACAGTTAAATGCAACCGCTTCTTCTACTTTACCATTTTTTCTCTCGCTCTTCCCGACTGTGGAACTCGCTTCCTCTTACTTATTTCCCTGATAACTATAATCTTCAAAAATTTAAATGTAATGTCAATCGACATCTTCCGATGCCTTGATCCCCCGTTCTTCTTTTAATCTATCTCCGTTCTTTTTATCCTATCCTCAATTCCCCCTTTACTTTGCTTGGAGTGAAATGCTTAATATATATATATATATATATATATATATATATATATATATATATATATTTCTTCAGAGAGAAAGACATAGAGAGATAGACAGTGACACAGAGAGAGAGTTTGTGAGAGAAAAAGAGAGAGCGATAAAGCAAAAGAGAAAAAACGAAAAGTACAGGCGGTCCTCTGGTTACGTCGGATCCGACGTACGGCGTTTCGTGCTTACAGCGCCATCTCCCATAATATAATACGTCGGCACGCGGCGTTATATGAGGAAGAGGGTGTTGTTTCTTCACCGGCTGACGCCATATTGGATTGTACTACATTCACTGTCTCTCGTTCGTGTTCTTTATTTTTTTTTTTTTTTTTGAGAACTTTTTGCCCTTCATTATGGCTGCGAAGCGTAAGGCAAACTCGTGGGTGCCTATGTAGGTGATGCAAGATTTAACAGTTCTTGCTCCATTCCTTTCTAGTTAGCCTATGAACTTTTCAGCCCACCCTCGTACCTGGAAAGAAACAATTGCAGATATTAATAAGAGCTGAAATTAATGCATGCAAGATTTCACAGTTCTAGCACCATTCCTTCCTAGTTAGCCTATGAACTTTTCAGCCCATCCTCTTACCTGGAAAGAAACAGTGCAATTACTAATAAGAAGAGTTGGAATCCATGCATGCGAGATTTCACAGCGTTACTCCCCCATAGTCAACCTTTGACGTATTCCGCCCACCCTCCTAGTAGAGGATTTGGTGAAATTTAGTAAAAATAATATGCATAGAAATCGCTTTACGCTTATCTGTTTTACACCAGTAAAAATAAAGAAGAAAAAAAACAAACGGAAAATCAATTGCTTAAAGCGTATTTTACTTGGATACATAATCCCAAATAGACGGCTTTGAAGACAAGCTTGTGATTAATATAAATTAGCCTTAAATATGGCTATAAATTCGAAAAAAAAAGAAGCTATTTTCATTATTTGTGAGGTCCCAGTCATAAAATGAATCAGCTGCGCAAAATAAAATGAGATTTGAAATAGAAGCTTGCAGGCCAAAATTGCCATGACGTCAGGGGATGATCGACCAATCAAAAAAGGACACGTTGCTCTCTGGCAGATGAACAATCCTTTCGAATAGCATTCGCCCTGGGCTACCTGCCGAGCTGAGACAACTGCACATTTCACGGTGGCGATAGTGGTCGAATTACGAGCCACAGAACAGAGCGTTAGCATTTCGACCCCTGAGTGTCAGCTATAATCATTCAAGACAATCCGCAAATGGTGCTAATGCTCCAGGAATGGCTGGCGGGTTATCTAACGAGGGATATTTTTTCCTGGTCTTTGTAATACTTGCAACGCATTAAAATGTTTCCAGAAAATTCGGTGTTGCTATTCAAAAAGTATAGTTTAGTTCTGGTACAAGGCCACGAATATGAAGATCTAACTTAGTAATAAGGGACAAGTAGACAAGTTTAACTTTAAATAATCAAGATACGTAGAGTGTAAACGGAGATATTTAGATTTTGTCTTAGTTGTTGGTACTCGGTGAGAGAAATGTGCTATAGATGTTTAAATTTCTTTTCTTTTCATTTCCCAAGTACTTTCGATCTTTTTCCAAGATCATCTTCAGGGTTGCAAGTAATACAAAACTACATATTGTTCATTAATGTAAGTATTTATACAAAGTTGTGCGTTGTTGTCCATTACCGTAATTTTTTCATTCTGCTTTCAAATGCAAAACGGTTGACAATGTACTTAGGGAATTAAAATAAAAGAAATTTAAACAGCTAGAGCACATTTCTCTCTTCCGTTAGCATCAATACACGGAAAGTTATTCGTGAGTATGAACGGATTTTGTTAAAAATTAGCAGACATAATATCTGTAATTTATCTCAAGTCTCAAGCACAAATCTCTGTAAATTGAGTCTGAGATTCATCTCAAGTCTGAAGCTCAAAATCTGTGTAAATTGTGCCTATGGTATATGTCAAGTCTAAAGCTCAAAATCTGTGTAAATTGAGTTTGAGGTTCATCTCAAGTCTAAAGCTCAAAATCTGTGTAAATTGAGTCTGAGGTTCATCTCAAGTCTGAAGCTCAAAATCTGTGTTAATTGCGTCTGAGATTCATTGCAAGCCTGAAGCTCAAAATCTGTGTAAATTGAGCCTATGGTATATGTCAAGTCTAAAGCCCAAAATCTGTGTAAATTGAGTTTGAGGTTCATCTCAAGTCTGAAGCTCAAAATCTGTGTTAATTGCGTCTGAGATTCATCGCAAGCCTGAAGCTCAAAATCTGTGTAAATTGAGCCTATGGTATATGTCAAGTCTAAAAACCCAAAATCTGTGTAAATTGAGTTTGAGGTTCATCTCAAGTCTGAAGCTCAAAATCTGTGTTAATTAAATAAAGGATTCATCGTTGCGTCTGAGATTCATCGTAAGCCTGAAGCTCAAAATCTGTGTAAATTGAGCCTATGGTATATGTCAAGTCTAAAGCCCAAAATCTGTGTAAATTGAGTTTGAGTTTCATCTCAAGTCTGAAGCTCAAAATCTGTGTAAATTGAGTCTGAGGTTCATCGCATGTCTGAAGCTCAAAATCTGTGTAAATTGAGCCTATGGTATATGTCAAGTCTAAAGCCCCAAATCTGTGTAAATTGAGTTTGAGGTTCATCTCAAGTCTGAAGCTCAAAATCTGTGTTAATTGCGTCTGAGATTCATCGCAAGCCTGAAGCTCAAAATCTGTGTAAATTGAGCCTATGGTATATGTCAAGTCTAAAGCCCAAAATCTGTGTAAATTGAGTTTGAGTTTCATCTCAAGTCTGAAGCTCAAAATCTGTGTAAATTGAGTCTGAGGTTCATCGCATGTCTGAAGCTCAAAATCTGTGTAAATTGAGCCTATGGTATATGTCAAGTCTAAAGCTTAAAATCTGTGTAAATTGAGTCTGGCTTTCATCTCATGTCTGAAGCTCAAAATCTGTGTCTCTGCTCGAATTAACTACATAAAGTTGGTTGTCGGCCCGTGTGTTTTCACAAATGAAGGATAAACGAAACAGTACATTAGCTTTCACAAGAAGTCACGGCAATTGACATGATAATAAAACACCAATTTCGCGGTCGTACGCACACACACATACCCACACGTATAAAAGCATGCATACACAAAAATGACAATCGTCAACATTTTTCTTTGAAATATTTATTCGATTATCCAGCATTATCAGAAAAAAAAAAAAAAAATTTTATTTCGAAAGAAGCGAGACGATTAAGCATATTTTTTTTCTATCTTCTTCAGTGTGTCTCTATCATTTGCCGCCCACATATTTTAGAAGCATTAACCAGATTCCCATCTAAATCTGCAACTTGATTTCTTGGTATACACCTAGCTAGAGCTTGGAAACATGACGTCAGAGAGCCAAGTATTTCTTTTTTATTTTTTTTTGATTTTAGAGCCGTTTTTTTCAAACATTTTTTTCTTACTCTTTTTTTTTTTCGTTCTTTTTTTTTTTTTTTTTTTTTCTCATCTTTGAAATTTTAGTTTCCTTCCTTGCTGATTCTTTTGCATTATGCCTAACTATTTAAATGTGGGATTTCTTTCGGGGTGAGTAACCACTCAACAATTCAGAAGATTCCCACCCCAAAATGTTCACACCCGGAAAAGGAAACGCTGCAAGGAAATCTCCAAGACTTAGAATATTCTTGCTGATTACTCCTTTTTTTTTTTCTGCGAGTCTTCTTCTTCTTCTTCTTCTTCTCTGGTGTTTCAGCAATTTTTCATTGTTGTATTTTTTTTTTTTTATATCCATAATGGTTTATTTAAATTTTGTTAAAATTCTTCCTTTTCTTTATTTCCTTTTAGTTTTTATCCATTTTCACCCTTAATTTCCGTTTCTGTCCTTCCTTCCTTCCTTCCTTCCTTCCTTCATTCTTTCCTTCCTTTCTTTCTTTCTTTCATTCTTTCTTTCTTTCTTCCTTCCTTCCTTCGTCCATTTCATCCTTTCTTCCATCCTTCCTTTCTTTCTTCCTTCCTTCCTTCCTTCGTCCATTTCTTCCTTTCTTCCATCCTTCCTTTCTTTCTTCCGCCCTTCCTTCCTTCTTTTCTTCCTTCCTTTCTTCCTTCCTTCTTTCCTTCCTTCCTTCCTTCCTACCTTCCTTCCTTCCACACTTCTTTTCTTCCTTCCTTTCTTCCTTCCTTCCTTCCTTCCTTCGTTCCTTCCTTCCTTCCTCGCTTCTTTCCTTCCTTCTTTCCTTCCTCGCTTCCCCTTTCCTTCCTTCCTTCCTTCCTTCCTTCCTTCCACACTTCCTTCCTTCCTTCCTTCCTTCATTCCTTCCTCCCTCCCTTCGTCCTTTTCTTTCTTTCTTTCTTTCTTTTTTCTTTCTTTCTTCTCTCCCTCTTTTCTTTCTTTCATTTCCTTCATTCTTTATTTCGTTTGTTGATTGTTTTTTCTTTTATGTTAGACTTAAAGGGATGTATGTAAATATATGA